AAACATCATACTTGAACATAAAATTAATATAAAAAATTTATTGAGATGTCTCACATTTTTTTTCTTTGAAACAAGTTCTTGAAATTTGGTGTGTATTTCAAGTGTTCATTGGCCACATGTGGTTCCCATATTGGACAGTAAAGCCTTACTGTAAGTGTACTTTTTTGTATGTATAATATAATACAATAAAATGTTTTGAAAGCTCCCCGCAAATTAATATCATTCTTAGTATAGTTATAGAAACAAATCACATTTGCTGATTGTATTTTCATCTTTCTATTTATTTTCTGTAATTTGTAGGGATAAAATTCAACATCCTCTTTATGCATTTGGTTTTCAATAATTGTAACTCTTTAAAAGCTTAAAAATCAAATTTTGGGGGGCATCAGTGTGGCTTAGTTGGTGAAGCCTCCAATTCTTGGTTTCGGCTCAGGTCATGATCTCACTGTTCGAAGGATCGAACCCGGCATTGTTCTCCACACTGACAGCACAAAGCCTGCTTGGGATTCTCTCCCCTGCCCCCGTGCGTGCGTGTTCATGTGTGTGTGAGTGTGTGCACAAAATAAATAAACTTTTTTTAAAAAGTCAAATTTTTGGCATTTCACCTTTGGATACTTTAATCAGAGATTTCCAACTAATTTTGAGCAAAGCATAACTATGAGGACTCATTTGCCTTAAAAAAGTTCAGTGCCATGGTAGGAACTATTTTGATTTAGAGTAGTTCTTCAAAAGCTCAAAGTGTGGGGGTACTGCCTTGATGTATTTTTTATATTCGGCATCAGCTTTGTCACATTTTACAGTTCAGTTACTTCGTAGATAAATATATTTCTAATTTATGCAACTATAAACTAAGTGATTGGCAGACCAGTTATGAGTTATATGTGCCACAACTAGTTTCTAATAAATTTCTAAATTTTTTTTTAATGTTTTTATTTATTTTTGAGAGACAGAAAGAGAGCACAAGTGGGGAAGGGGAAGAGAGAGAGGGAGACACAGAATCTGAAGCAGGCTCCAGGCTCTGAGCTGTTAGCACAGAGCCCGATGTGGGGCTCGAACTCACAAACCGTGAGATCATGATCTGAGGTGAGGTTGGATACTTAACCGACTGATCCACCCAGGCACCCCCTAATAAATTTCTATTTCATAGTTTTTAGAAATTCACTAAGAATGTTATTCTTTTTTTTTTTTTTTTAATTTTTTTTTAACGTTTATTTATTTTTGAGAAAGAGAGAGACAGAGCATGAACAGGGGAGGGGCAGAGAGAGAGAGACACAGAATCCGAAACAGGCTCCAGGCTCTGAGCAGTCAGCACAGAGCCCGACGCGGGGCTCGAACTCACGGACCGTGAGATCATGACCTGAGCCGAAGTAGGACGCTCAACCGACGAACCACCCAGGCGCCCCCGAGAATGTTATTCTTTATACACTGTGCTCCACCAGCATCTATATTTGTATTATCAGTATAAGAGCCAATAGTTTTATCTTCACTGTTGTACTTTTTTACTTTGCATGTTTCACCTTCAATGTAGTACCCTTTCAAAAGTTTAATTTTGGTTCTATGATCAGGTTAGAAAGACTGAACCATTATTTGAATTAACAGATACTCTATACCTGATGACACTGATGTAAAACTGGTGTCCTTTAGTTATTTGCAAGGTTTTTGTTAATGATATCAGCATATGAACAGCTTTGCTTTTTACATGTGCATGATAATGTGAATTGAATCATTTGTCATTTGTCAGTGAATTAAATCACTTGATTTAAATGAAGTTATTTGCAGGGTGGTGTTAAATGTACCGTTTGCAGCTGCACGTGTTAAATTGTCGCCCTTGAAGTATATATTGAAGCTTCTTCAGCAGTTTTATTTCTTTTGGCTTTCATGTGATCAGTGATACCATTCTGGTCCCCACAGAGAATAGTAAATGTCGTTATTTTGTGCAAATTACATCTTCATCATCAACTTTCTTGGAAATGAATTAACTTTTCATTAAACATGCACTTCCAGTTTTTAAATTCATAACTGCAGAAAGGTATTACCAAACCATAAAATAAGTATCGTTGTAGATTTAGGCAGTACAATAAAGACAAAATCACTGCAGCAAGAATGGTCAGAATATTCTGTGTATTCTCTATGAGAGAACTGCAAAGCCTTTATTTGCCACATGGGTTTCACATGCACCCACCTTTTATGATGACCCCACCTGGCTACTTTGTGCAGATCATGGTTAAGACCACGGAGTAACAAACTAGTATAACATGGAGCTGGTGGGGACCAAAGTGTTGAAAGCTGCTCCCACTACCATCTGAGATTGGATAGAGTTAGTTGTCCCTAGCTCATTTGACCACACTTTATGGATGAGTATGTAGTTTTATCAGGAGTTGCCCTTTATGCTGCCCTTGAAGCAGATAGGTGTTAGTTAAGGTTGCAACAGGAAAGGATCAAGACAATGCTGGTAATTGCCAGTTGTCTTTCAAATTAAAGTACAAACTCTCATCTCTGCACATCTATTTCACACCTTGCTAGAAACAACCAAAACAGAAGCTGGAATTAGAAAGCAGAGGGCTACCAAATCCCTCCTGGCTTATTTTACTACAACTATTAGTAATAATATTATTTTTTCTTTTAATGAAATAAAAGTCTGACCATTGCTAGAATACACATTAATGGCTGTTAACTTCCTTAGGGAATTAGATCACATCTCCTGTTATGTGCTCTCATTTCATCATGGAATATTCCTTTACTGTACTTAATCACAGTTGACATATATTTTTTTGGTAATTATTTGTTCATTACTTGCCCCACTAGACCAGAAACTGTGAGGAAAAGCACCATTTGTTTCTCATATTGTATTCATGGTACCTTAACACAGTGACTTGGACATATTAAAAACTCAAACATTTGTGGAATAAATGAAACGTGAATGAATGCACAGGACAGAAGGAGTATCCTGTTACCAGATGTGTCCCAGTTGATCATTAGCTAAATAATAGAAAACCCTTGGCAGTTGGAAACAGTGTTCTTTTGCAGGTACCTCTAGCTTATATGGTACATTCTGAGAATACAGTAGGAACGTGTAATGATATTTAGTCAGATGTGTAAATTTGATATGTCTGTAAATGCTTGTAAGATACCAGCACTTATTGAAGATTGTCAAGTATGCTTAAGCACATTTTATATGTTACCTCATTTAATCTTCACAGTAATCTTGTGAAGTATTATTACTGTGCCCATTTTACATGTGAGTTTGCAGAAGCTTACAGAAATGAAATGCCTTCCTCCGGGTCATAAAGCTAGTAAATGTATCATAAGAATGGAAATTTGATTACATCTTTCAATTTTGTTTAGGTTATAGACATTGTGTCAGTGAAAATTGTAAGTATTAAACAGCCTTACTAATAGTGACAAATAAAAGATTTCTCACAGAGAACAAGATACCAAGCAGTGTAGGTATAGTCCAGGTCTGGTGTAGCACTTAATTATATTACAGGGGCTCTGGGTCTTTTCATCTTCCTGCTGTGCTATGCTCAGTGTGTGACTGCATCCCCACTATTATGTTTGCATGATGACTACTGTATCTCTGGGCATTGCATCAGTTCATAGTAAGGAGAAAAATTGAAATACCTCTTAAAGGACTTTCTTAGAATCCCAGTTAGGTGACTTATCCTTCTGTCTCATTGGTTTGAATTGAGTTACTGGCCACCCCTTGCTGCAATGAATCTAGGAAGGTGAATATTGATGACTTTTTTGGTATTTTTATCTTTTAGTTTCTTCAAGTGTACCATCAGAAATCCTGGTATTGAGAAGTCTGTGACTGCAAAAGTTGAGCATCCAGTGCTATGTACCATGAGGAAGCTTTTTTAAGTTGGGGGTGTTTTGGTCAGATTGTGCCTAAGGCATGCTCTGATGGCTGGGTGGTAGACTGGGGATGACAGAATGGAAGCAGGAAGAGACTGTTTAGGAGACCTTTGTAGTAATTTTAGTAAGAGATCTTAGAAGCCCGAACTGGAAAAATGTAGGAAATAAAAGGAGACAAAGATTTCAAAAATATTTAGGAGGTCAGATGGTTAGGACTTGGTGATTGATTGGCTCTGTGGAGAAAAGAGGAGAGCAAAGAGTCAAAGGTGTCTCAGGTTTCTGTCAGAAATGAATGAGGGATGCCATGAATGGAGACTAGAGAAGAGTAAAGGAGAAAGTTTCAATCGGTTGCCCCTTTAGACACGATGAGTTTGAGGTATCTGGGTTTTCTTCATGTGCAGATCTTTATTAATTGGGAAAATTTAGATAAATTTGCTATATGTTACAAATATTTTTCCTTGGTGACATCCTTTGGACTTTTATTTACTTTCTGTTGTTCAGCAGTTTCAAACATGTTTATCATTAATTCTGTTAATATTCTCTTTTCTATTTCTGGCTTTAGTGTCCTAATTTGAGGACCTGGCCTGTCTTAATAGCAAATTATAGAAGTATATACCAAATTTTTTCCTTGATCTTCTGTGGTTTAAGTATTGACTTGTACAGGATTTTATTTTGGTGAATAGATGAGGTAAGGAAAGGAAAGATCATGAACACAGTTACTGTTTCCAAAGTGTGATGTAAAACATGAACAAACTGAAGTTTTCTTTTAAATTTTTTTTTTCTTTTTTTCTTTTTTTTTTTTTTCAACGTTTATTTTTAATAACATGAACGGGGGAGGGGCAGAGAGAGAGGGAGACACAGAATCGGAAACAGGCTCCAGGCTCCGAGCCATCAGCCCAGAGCCCGACGCGGGGCTCGAACTCACGGACCGCGAGATCGTGACCTGGCTGAAGTCGGACGCTTAACCAACTGCGCCACCCAGGCGCCCCTGAAGTTTTCTTTTGAAAGTAGCTTCAGTGTTAGCTTTTTTAAATGGTTTTGATATTTGAAGATATACTCTGCTGTTCATTTCCTCCAAAAAATAACAGATTAAAAATTTTTATTATAGATCAAAATTGAAATATCCCTTTCATGTATTCTGACAGCAGGAGGATGCATTAGCACAACAGGCCTTTGAAGAGGCCCGGAGAAGGACGCGTGAATTTGAAGACAGAGACAGGTCTCATCGGGAGGAAATGGAGGTGAGAGTTTCACAGCTGCTGGCAGTAACTGGTTAGTACTTTCCCCCAAACTCTCAGGCTCTCTATGTCATGTTTGTGTGTAATGTTTTTAAATAGTTTAATTTTGTCTTTCATTTTTCAAAAGTTGTACTGTGTCTTTGTATTTATTAAATGTAATTGCTATAAAGAAACTTGGTCTTAATTTTAAGGTTGTACATGAATTCCTCATTCATTGATCCTCATAAAAATCATTTACTGTCATGTATATATTCTATTAATTCATTGATCCAAATATCTTACCTCTTTTTTGTCTCAATTATTTGTCAGATTATTTGTAAAAATTACCTTATGTTATCCTAGAATACCTACTAACTCTTTGGGAATAATATTACTTTACATTTTTTTATGAATGTCTTGATTTTGTAACTAATTTTTAGCCATTTGTGTATTCTCCTTACTAAAGGGAAAATTTAATGTTTTCAAACTACTCAAAGAATTGAATTAAGTAGCCCACTTTTAACTTTTTTATGGTACAGATATAGAAATCTACACAAAAGAAATATGTAGCTTAATTATTACAAGGCTAACACCCTAATCACTACCATCCAGATCAAAAATATCAAACGTTCACAGCTCTCCCAGCAGCACCCCCTCCACGTATGCATCTAATTATGACCTTGTCCCTCCCCTCAAAAGTACTCATTACTTCAGTTTTTATAGCAATCACTGCCTTGTGTCTCTTTTACTCCTGTCACTTCAGTCTTCAACGGAAGACTGAGGTTTAGTCTTAAGCATTATTTAAATTTTATATGACTTTTAATTTACACGGATTTTTTTCTATATAAAATTGTACCCTACTTTAAGCAGACTTTAATTATGAGACTACTATTTAAACTATCTATACACTGTTCAAAAATCCAATTTCTATAAAAAGTATACTCTAACAAACAAAAACAATCAAGATGAGAACTAATGTGTTTGGAAAAGAATATTGTCAAATGTTAACATCCTATGCTTCAAGTTTATAAGCTTACTTACTGATGTATACATTTCACACAAAAAGAAATAGGAAGTTAGCACACATTCACCTTTGATAATCAAAAGAAATAGAATTAAAATATATTACATGAACTAAATAGAATAATTTCCGGGCATTAAAAAGAGTTCTACAGATTGGTTGCTCAACAAAATAAAGGTACTTAATACTTAGCACTTCTGAACTGTGCACTTAAAAATGGCTAAGATGGTAATTTTTATGTTCTATGTATTTTAGCACATTAAAAAAATGTTTTAATCAGTGTTACATACAGAAAATTTGTGGGGTTTCCATACACAAAATTATATGTGCACTATTATTTAAATTAACATGAAAATTTAATGTTATTTTAAACATTATGCAATGCATTTGGTTTTGGTTTTTTTGAAGCTTTTCAATTCCTGTGATCAGACTTCCCATGCCATTTTCTTTTGGAGTGCTTGTATCTGTAATAGTAAGAAGGTTTTAAACATATAATATGCATTTACCTTATACTTCTGAACTTTTTTGCTCATACTGTTTATTCCGTGCCTAGTAATATACCTTTCTACTCATTCATTAAAACCCAACTTAAATGTTATCTGTCAGTCTCTTCTTTAGCCTTCTTAATTATAACTGGCCCTTCCACTTTGTAGAATCCAGAGCACTTACTTCTGTTATTGTTCTTACTGAACAATATGTTGAAACAACTAAAAAGTGTCTTCTACTGTATTGTAGATTCCCAATGAGATGGGGCCCTGATATTTTAACCCTCACATTACCCATCACAGTGGGTTTTTTTGTACATTGTGTTTAGTTGTCAAATGGAGATCTTCAGAAAACAGTTTCTATCCTGCCTGTCTGAAAACTAGAGTTACAGGATAGCCTAGAAGTTAGTTGAAGTCGAATAATACATGTTAATGATCTCTGGAAAGATTTTAAATGTTTATAATTTGTTGGTTTATATTAGGTAAGTACTAAGTAATGAACCCCAACTATGTTGTGCAGGATTCTGCATTAGGGACTGGGAAATATATAGATGAAAATGCACGGTTTCTGTCCTTCAGCAACTGTCAGTCTTGAGGGAAAATAGATACATAAACACACAATTGGAGACTACTTTAGCAGCAGGCATTCATAATGGAGGTTCAGAAGGGGAACAGTGGCACTGTAGAGGAATGAGTGTTTATGTCTGCCTCTATCTGGGGAATTCACAGGGGAATACCCTTGCAGGGGTTTGAAGGAAGAGTGGGAGTTTGCTCACTGGACAAGCTAGGGAAAGCATTCTGGGCAGAAAGAGCAGTGTATGCAAAAGCATTAAAGTAGTAAGAGATCTTGTCATGTCTGAGAACATGATTGGTCAGTCTTTCTGGAATAAGCCAATATGTCTTTAAATGAATGTAAGAAAAAAAATGTTTTATAAAAGGTGCTCTTCGTCTAGGGGCACCTGGGTGGCGTAGTAGGTTACGCGTCCAACTCTTCATCTCGGTTCAGGTCATGATCTCACAGTTCTTGAGTTCAAGCCCCACGTTGGGCTCTTTGCTGACAGCTTGGAGCCTGGAACCTGGTTCGGATTCTGTCTCCCCCTCTCTCTGCCCCCCTCCCCCCCACGCACGCGCGCGCACGCACACACACACAATACACACTCTCTCTGTCTCTCTGTCTCTGTGTCTCAAAAATAAATAAACATTTTTTAAGAAGTGCTGTTCAGGTACATTATATATGAAGAATAATTATTTGAGGGGTGCCTAGGCGGCTCAATTGGTTAAGCATCTGACTTTGACTTGGGTCATGGTCTCACATTCATGAATTTGATCCCCTCATCAGACTCTGCTCTGACAGTGTGTAGCCTGCTTGGGATTCTCTCTGTCTCCCTCTCTCTCTGTGCCCCTTACCCACTCGCACACTCTCTCTCAAAATAAACAAACTTCAAAAAACATAACTGAAGGGGCACCTGGGTGACTCAGTCAGTTAAGCGACCAACTTTGGCTCAGGTCATGATCTCAAGGTTCTCGAGTTCGAGCCCCATGTCGGGTTCTGTGCTGACAGCTCAGAGCCTGGAGCCCTTCAGATTCTGTGACTCCCTCTCTCCCTTACCCTTCCCTGCTCATGCTCTGTCTCTCTTTCTCTCTCAAAAATAAATAAACATTAAAAAAAATTTTTTTTTAATAAACATAAGTGAAGAATATTTGATAATTAATGGAACAGTTATTTAGGAAGTTTTTGTACATATTTTGCTTTAAATAAAATTCTAGATTAGTTAATACTAAAGGTTGTCTTTTCTTAAATACTAGTTTGATTATTCTTATAAATAATGCTACTTGAAGGGGTGCCTGGGTGGCTCAGTTGGTTACACATCCGACTCTTGATCTCCACTCAAGTCTTGATCGCAGGGTCGTGGGTTCAAGTCCCACCTTGGGTTCCACACTGGGCATGGAGCCTACTTAAAAAATAAATAAATAAATAATAATGCTACTTGAAGAAAATCATTCTGGTGTATGAATTTTATATGTATGTGTTTATATTTGTGTATGAACAAAAACATATTCTGTTGACAGAGGTATTAAATAATTTGTTGCTTGGATAGATTGTTTTTTGGTTGGTTTTATGTCCGTGATTTGAGAACATGGACTTTGTAATCAGGCCTAGTTGAGATTCCTGTTCCATTGCTGGCCAATCCCTCTTAAGCTTGTTTTCTCATAGAAAGAAATCATTGTGAGAATTAAATGGGGGAAATGCTTGTAAAAGCACTTAGTATGGTGGTTGGCTTGTGTATGCCTACAGTAAATAATAGCTCTACAGTACTTCTTTAGCACTAAGAGCTTGACGACTGTGCTGGTTCCAGTTAATTGAATGATCTGGCGAAGAACATCCTTTTAGCTCTCTAAAAGTATATCAGGGCACTTTCCCTGCATTATGACCTGGAGCATAGCAAAAATGGTTAGATTGTCATCAATGATTTAAGATCCTGTAGTCTCTTATGGCAAAAATTAAACCATCCGTTCTTGTAGAGAACTTTCATCTACAAAGCTGGACTGAAATCTGTCTCCAGAGCTTGCAGTACTGGCAGTCACTTAGGGGAGTTTTGGGTATGTGTGTCTTTTGGTACTTTGTGCATATATATTTAAAAAAAAAAAAAATCCATAACAGATTCCTAGTATCAGCTTGTTTCCTTACAGTTTACCTTCTTTTTCCTAAAAGGAGAACATTAGGGAAAATTACTGTTTCCCCCTTTTAATTTGAACATCCATAGGGGACATTATGCCGTGTACTCTAAAATTCTTATTACAGTTGAAACTGATACTGAGAAAAATTGACTTGCTCTTTCAAGTAGTTGGTTAATGGAAGGAGGAGCAAAGACTTAAACCAGATTCCTAACCAGAAGGTCTCTACAAATACAGCCTAGCACTGGGAAATTAATTTCCACATCACCCATAAAGATGATTAAGTTGAAAAATAAAACCTGCCAGGAGAGGTTACAAACCATTTTTGCCTGGAAAAGAAAAGGCTGAGGCAAAAAAAGAATAATAATAGTTCCAGTGGGTGGTCCTGATGCCTGACTAGAGGCAAGGGCCAAGGAGCAGTGGTAACTCGTGGGTGGCAGTAACCCAGTAAATGGTCCTTGGAAGTTTGAGATCCTGGCAGTACAGAGGCTTAGGGATGTCCCAGCCCTGTTTGGATAACCTCTGAGGCGTCTAGCCCTGCAGTGCTAAATTTGTAATGGTGGTGCTTATGAACATTTAATATATGTCTAAGGTTAAGATTACAAAGGGTTTCGGTATGTGTTAGTGTCTTTTAACCTGTATTCAGTTATAAAACTCCTTGAGCAGGTTTCTCTTTTACTGTCTGTAAAATTTAGAGAGTTTTCTTTTTTTTTTTTTTAAGTTTATTTTTGAGAGAGAAGGAGCACACATGAGTGGAAGGAGGGAGAGAGAGAGCGAGAGAGAGGGGGGATATCCCAAGCAGGCTCCACATTGAGCCCAGCAATGGGGCTCAAACCCACAAACCATGAGATCATGATGTCAGTCAAAATCAAG